AATGGTGGCGAAGTACACAATGTGTAGTTCGAACACATCGCGTCGGTATGTTCGCACACCGTTGCGGTCGAAAATGTGGATCGGGGTGGGAAGATTGCGGATCCAATCTTTCAGGGAATGGAGGATATCTGCATGCTGTTATAGCCGCAAAGAGTAAGTTTGAAAAATCTGTGGTATATCATAGACGTATGCTAACTGAGGCAAGGCACAGATACCTGGGTTTGTATATCCTTAGCGCCCGCCATCGGAGGTCTAATATCCGACCCAGAATGCTCGCTATCTTGGCCAGCTGCATGAACAGCAAGGGTTGGATGCCGGGGCACTCGAAATCTTCTTCCGCCAGGGGTCGAGCATCGAACTCATCTTCTTTGATGCACGTCGGCCGTCCAAATGCACCCGACAACAGTTTATCTTGTACCTTGATGTGATGAGTAGAAGCCCGTAGGAGTCAGGGGATACGTACGAAAAGGCACCATGCAATCCTGCGTGCGATTCCCGGACTCGCCGATGCTACACACATTTCTTCGCGGTGGAGGCCCATCTGTTGCAACAGTCTGATTGCGATCCCCAACCAATGCCACGCACAATCCACGGTCAACAATACCGGGCCAGCGATGTTGCGGGTGGCCAACAGACACAACACCTTCAGAACGGTCATCGGGTCCTGCTCGTGGTTGGTGTGGATGAGGGTCTTGGCGTTGTAATAATATTTCTCGTTCTCTGACAGAATGTCCGGTCCTTTGGGATGCCGCAGCATAGTTCCCACCATGCAAATGGCTTGCTGAAGCGCCAGCGACGGTCTGTTGGAAGAGAGGTCGGCATGATCAATCACGGGGAACTGATGAAAAAGGTGTTGGAAGTAGGCGTCGCTATATGCATTGAATAAGATGGTCGGCGGAGATGCCGTCGGGTCTATGATCGTCAGGATCTCCAGGTTCCGGCTATTGGAGAAGGCTGTGATGCGCTGGTAGTTTGGGGGAATGCTAGGAGCACTATGCATGATATATGTCATTGCACCAAGGTACTGCTTATGGAACGCTTCCGGTGCTGGAGCTGCAGCCACTTGGTCTCGTTGCTCGCGAATGATGGATGTTTCTGGTGTCACTGGCCTGTCCAGCCCTTGCGCAGCTGTTCCATTGGGTCTCGGAGATCCCAGAGCGTGCTTTGCATATCTTTCCTTGACAGTCGCTCTTCGGTTGGTGCGAGGTCTTGGAAATGAATCAGCAATCCGGTAGCCATCTCACCACCTCATGACCCTTACTGGCAGGCTAATCCATGTTTATAGCAATTGGAACAAGTGCCCTGTGATCGAGTCTGCAAATCACACTTGACCTTGCGTGCATGACACTGGCAGCATACGATCCTGGCCCGGTCACGGACGCCGTGAAGTGGTTGACCCGATGTGGCCATGATGACCAGCACGATGATGTTATGCAAATCGTACAGAGTATTCGGCACTCTGGTGATTGAACAGAAGTGTAAAGAACAATAAATAATACGGATGGAGCATTGTGGTCGGGCTGAAGCGTATTATCAATATTTGTAGCCGAACTGAGGGGGAACTGATTCAACATCCAATCCCCGTTGCGTGATGGCAGGATACAAGACACAGCAAAAAGGTTCTCATATCGAGCAGAGTGGAGAATGACTTCCAGTGCCCTCGGATTGGTTGCTTCCGTGTCCCTCCATTTCAGCCGTTTTTATGCGTTTATGTCAACTTGGGCGTGGGCAGCAACTTGAACTAGTGTACTCCCACTATCGCAGCACAGACTCCTCCATTTCGTTTATTAACCTCACCGGATACATATAGGTATTTAACATGCACTCTTTTGATTATTCTTCCAACCTGCTGTTGGTTATGCCTGGTCTAGTTCGGCAGCTACGCATGGGCTTCCTACGCGCGCGGAGCGCAGAATACCAGGCCACGCACGCAATCATTGATCGGTATTGCTCAATTGCTTCACCGGAGCTACTGCGGGTCATGCTTGGACGAGGACTACTCAGTGCGGCCAGATAGTTCTGGGCTTGCACAAGTGAACATGTCTTTTTTCTCTGCGGGGTCGCCCCACGTTGCAACGGACGCTAGGCTCGACCGAGGTAAATCCATCGAAGCTATATCTGATCCAAACTAGAGTCAGACTGGACTGCATGAGGATCATCGTTGAACAGAGGCCCGGGAGCAGCTCCGCCACCACCGTTGTGCCACACCTCCTGGGGTTTTACTAGCGCACTGTACTGTTTATAACATCCAAACAACTTGCTATGTTGAATTGTTTCTGTGGTAGATTCACTGTCTTGGTGGTAACGGGTCTGTTGGATCTGCAGTTCATTTATCCGTATTCCTAGCGATATAAGTACCAAGGCCAAGGCCAAGGAAGCTTAGATGACGAACTTCTCCAATAGAGAAGAAAGTCGACTGCCGACGACAGCCGGTCAGTACCGAGCGGTGCTCAGCCACGCGAGCTTAGTTGACCCTGGTCACCTTCTGAACGAGCGGCCTCTGATACATGCTCTCTATTTGACACAAAGATTGACTGGAAACCTCTCCTCCCCACCAATAATATTCACCAGACTCGACTTTATGCTTTACCTCTTCGGAGATTCTCAAGACAAGGTGCAACGAAAACATCACGTCGAATGATGCCGCGGGAAGTGTAGAAACTAACCAGAAGCCACAGAATCACCACTGCGACGGACAACACCTGACGGTCGTCAGTATGAATCATTGATACTGTGAGGTAAAAAGTGCTCACCGTCCCCAGAACAGAAAAAAAAGCGCGACGGCAGCTCCTGGCCGATGCTACAGGTCGAGGTGGTAAAAACTCCCAGTGGGAAGGTCAAGGCCCACCATCCCATGTTGAAAGGGAATTTCCTCGTCTTGACCAGGGTTGCGACTGCAAAGGAGAGCCAAACGACGCCAAACGCCCAGAGTAATATTCCGATCAAAAACCCGACGCTATAGAAGATTTCGCCAGTGGAGGCACTCAGGGTACCCGTCTTTGGAAAGATTGTCTGCGCACTTCTCCCCAGCCTTTGGATTCTATGAAGGTGCATCAGAAGAGAAAAAGATGAGTAAAACTCAGTGTCGGACCACATTTACCCAAAACTGCCCTGTCCCAGGGGACCAAGGGGAAGAAACACGCTTACAAGCATTCCTTTTGGTGGAAGCTTGTGAAACATCAGCCGCTGCAAATATATACAGATGACCATCATTGCGAGGGGAACGCCGATTCCCCAAAGGATATAGCTGGCCAGGATGATCCCGAGGGCAAGTTGTGCGTCGGGCAGAATATCTGCAACGATGGAGCCGGACGCCGCCGCAACCACACACGAGACAATTGGCAGAAGCCAAGCAGCAGTCATGGAGGACAGATCGAGCCCATTGTTCCTCGCTGTTCTGTGAATTGGCGTTAGCAGAGAACGTAAATACAACAAGGGGAAGAGATCAATACAGGAGAAACGGGATTCCGATAGCAACCAAGACTGATACCACTGCGTCGAAAATCCACACGCCACATATAAAATAGGCTGCACCATCACCCCATGGCGGTACACAGACAAAGCAAAACATATTAATGATGGTGGCAAGCCCCATTGGGAACGTGCCCAGGAAGAGTGATTGAACTGGATGAGTGACCATCACCTCGAAAATCTCCGGATACAAGATGTAGCGGAGGAGAGTAATGGCCAGAAAGACCATGAAATATGCCACATTCAAGATGAAAACAATGATGGAGATGTAGTAAAGCCACTGACCATTGTACGGCAGAGTGTTGAGGAGGATCGACACGATTCCTGTTCCCATATTAACAGAGAACCAGCTTGTGTCACAGTTAGTATCTGTCTGACTCTCCAACATTGTCTGCTGCGACTCACGATGGCGTAAAGTTCCGGACAACCTTTCGCCAACCGACATCGTGTTTCGATCTCTCCATAGGTTCTGGGATTTCGGCCGGTGGCATCTCTTTCTGGTCGGTACCCTGTTGGGTTTCGTGAACGACCGAGGCGACTTGGTGGAACATGGGAAGAGGCTATATTGATCGATAGACCGCGATTGAGGTAAAGCGGGAGGCGGGAGGTAATAAGTTAAAAAGCCAGGGCAGAATGAATCTAGGCTCATGGTCGTAGGGCCATTCGACAATGTCGGCCGAAAAGAATCTCAATCTACATGGAGATGTGAAGACAGAGTATGCCGGCAGTGGACGGCACACCCAGTCGCCGAAACCAAATGTGCCGGCTCATCCCCACCGAGCCAATGGGGACGATGTTGAGTAGCATACCTACCACTAGGGCTTTGGCCAGTGCGTTAAGCTGGATCGGTGTAAGTGTTTCAGCAGATGACACAGTCACTCTGAATGACTGAGGCAAGAATCACATTGCTTCATTGACGCTTATACGCCATGAGCGAGGACAGGTCAAGATTCAAGCCGGGGAAGGGGATCAGATATTTTGGTCATACCCTAAGTTAATGGCTTCTGTAGCTGTCAATTCTATCTGGAATGAACGTAACAATGAACTCAATGACCTCCCGAGTATTTCTGTCTTTCCTAAATTAATGATGGAAGCTCACAAGCTGCACATAAGTTAATTTGTTATCATTGCCCTATCTTACATTTATAACCGGCCCGTCGGACATGGAACAGTTATTAACCACCTCTCTTGTGTGGCATGAATTTGCAATAGAATACTTCATCATGAATGTATTGTAGGTTACTTTATCTCAGTTGCATGTTACGGAATATCCACGGCCCTCAAACAAGGAAAACATTTGAAAATGTAGTAATATTCATGAAGACAGGTAACCTTTTCATCGGATTATGAGAGACTGTAGCTCCATGTATACCATACATGACTCGGCAGCTACGCGACGCCCTTCTCCGAATTGAGCGAAGGCATGAGTAGATGACTTCCACGGCCGTCGTCCCAAAACACCAGTCCGCAAAAGATGTATTCATTCTGACGAGCGAGTCCGAGAAAAGTCTACTCTTTGCTTCCCTATTTCACAGCGTGTATTTAAACCCAGCTAGCTCTTCCAGAACGATAGTCCCAGTAGCCGCCTTCCTATTAAGCACACGCATTCTTAGCATCAAAACGACCGAAATAACCATAGTGATAACACTAGCCCTATTCCACGACACCAAGAGTTAATACCTCAAACCAAAAGCATCGAGGACTCCACAGCAGCCAGCACTTACACAATGGACGCTATAATGCCAGGCCGATACGTCGGCGCATCCTGAGAACGAAAGACCAAAGAGCCGACGATCCCGCCAGCCCCACCACCCATGATGAGCAAGGCGTTGCAGAAGGAGCGTTTCCATTTCCCGCGGATATTGTTGGCCTGCCAGGCCAAGTTCGTGGGGACGTTTGCGTTGCTACCGGAGGTGACGAGAATGGCCCCGAAGTATTGCACCCCGGGGGACGCGACCCAGCCCAGAAGCGCCAGGCCGATGGTCGACAGAAGACAGTTGGAAAGAACGAGAGGGCCGCGGATGTGGTATCTGTCGCCGGACCAGGCGGTGATGTGCATCCAGATCCCGGCTACGATGTATGGGGGTGTGGACAGTGCTTGTGCGGCGGTTACACCGAATTTTAGTTTGGATACTAGAATGATAGGTAGGAAAAATGCGATGGAGTAGGAAACGCAGGTTGATAGTCTGTTGAGTAGACGGTTAGTAGTGAAACTGGTCGAGTATGGTATAGAAGGGAAATAACTGACAAAAACATCATAGTAGGTAAAGACTTTCCAGTCTTTGGCGGGACGTAGGAAGTCACGAAGGTCAAACTGGATCTGTTCGGCGGCATCTGCTCGGTCAGCATTGATGTGGCGGATGATGAATGCCTCCTCTTTCTCTGTCAAAAACATCCAGCATTTGTGAGAGCCCTTGGGATACTCAACCAGCAATAGCCAGCCGATGATGGCAGCAACGAAATTGAGGACGCCCTCCATTAGAAAGATGTATCTCCAGCCGGCAAGCCCACTCAATCCATCCATCTGCATGAAGCCACACGCCAGAACTGGTCCGAGGGCAGATACGAGACAGCTTATAAAATAGCTGATTGAGAATCGCTTATGCACGTCGTATCGGGTGTACCAAGCGGATAGCAAAGGAAGGAGTGATGCATACAGACTCGATTCAAAGGCCCCCAGTAAGGCTCGAATAATCATGAGATGCCACCATTCGTCGACGAAGGCCGCGCCCTTTTGCAGTTAGCGACGGAGGAGAAACGTGTCTGCCATCTTACCACCATCAGTACACCCCAGCACACCGTGACACCACTAGAGAAGTGTCTAGGACTGATATTCTGTGCAATGGCATTGACGGGCAGTTGCACCAGCACATATGGTACAAAAAATATCAAAAGCACAAGGGACTGCAATACTATCAGTATACAATCACTGAGCGAATAAGACCTACTGTACATATTTCGGGCCGCTCTCCAGACCAAGGTCTTCCGACATTCTGTAGAGTCATTCTCGGTCAGTCGATTATATGCTCAAGGAAGAATAGCAAATAAAGGGTGTATACCCAGCAATGGAAGCTGAGCCAAGATTCGTCCTATCCATAAGACACATGCCCATGAGAAGCCCCAGCCCCGTCACAAGGCGACGGTCGACCTTGTGAATGATCTTCCTCTGTTCTTTCTCTGTAAACTCTTCGACATCTTTGGAATCTGTTGAGGTCGCAGCTCCCTGCTCAGCCTGGGCGCTATCAATATCTTCGATGAATTCATCAACATCCTTAGACTCTTTGTCTTTGGTATTCATGTTTCTCGCGTATAGAAACGAGGTTATTATCCGTATCTGTCAGCACCGACACCTACTCGCTTTTGGCTCTGCAGGCTCGGAGTTTGTTTGGCAGTAGGAGGCGATGGGAGTGATTTCCAGGCCCATGTGCTTTATCAAATGCTACCAATCCAGAGGAAGGGGCGGGGTAATTCCTCAGAAATCTGGGGAAGCTGTCTGGAGGCAGTGGGTCCGTTGGAATAGTCTTAACCTCCATGTATGCTGAATAGTGGAGTTAGTATCCCTTAGAGGCGCATAGGCTGTTCGTAAAGTTGCCGACTACCGAGAATAAACTTGCCCTTGATGAAGTGTCTCCCAATTGTCCACTATGCAAACTGCCCGAATATATCCTGGTCATCCTCTTCCAAATATTCTACGGATATGGTGGACTATATTGCTGTACTAGTTATCTCTATATCTGATTTCCAGTAGTGAAGACGGGTCACGGAAAGTGATTTTGTACGAGACCAGGGAAGTGTTGGTGTTGTTGGCATACGATATCGATATAGGTGTGAAACAGATCCCATCCCTGATCTTGATCGAGTAGAAGAGATGCCCTCTAGATTTGACTCACAACAGCAGCCTGGGTTGCTTCCTCAGCCATTGTGCTATGTTTTACTTGGAGGGTATACACATTTTGGGCCCACTTGCTAAACTTTCGGCACAGCTGCGCCGACCGAACGGCAGAGCTCGGCACTCAAACCCCGCAAAAATGGGGATGCAGCGTCGCTATCCAGAAAGCTAGTTGACCCCCGCATCAACAGGAGCAATATTGGAGTCTATGGCGAAACACACCTCAAAACTTCCCGGGGAAGAATCAGGTTCGGCCTCAGTCTCGGGAAATGACATCATTCATGACTGGAGGAGGGAATGTAGCTGACACATTGTTCCCCGAAGATGAAACGCAACATGTACATACAAAGCTCAATGTCGGGCCATATGGTCTCTCCTGCACTCCCTGGTGATGCTTTGTCATACTCTCCACGATAGCTAGCTCATAACCACATCGTGACTCTGCATTTTATCATCTACAATCAGCACCTCCACCACGATGTCGTCCGACATCACACTATACACCTGGTCCACTGCAAATGGCATCAAGGCGTCCATCACCCTGGAAGAGCTTGGCCTGCCCTACAAGATTGAACCGATTGATATTGGAGCCGGTGTCCAGAAGGAGGAGTACGGTTGTCCTCGACATCCGCATCTCAGACGCCGTCCTGCTAACGACGATCGAACTATAGGTGGTTCTTGAAGATTAACCCCAATGGCCGTATCCCGGCGCTCATCGACGGCTCACAGCGCGTTTTCGAGAGTGGCTCGATTATGCTGTATCTTGCCGACAAATACGACACGGAGCGCAAGATCAGCTATGCGCCTGGCACTCCCGAGTACATTGAGCAGGTGTCCTGGCTGATGTTCCAGATCGGTGGCATTGGCCCCATGCAGGGTATGTTGAAAACATGGCAATAGTTGCTCGAGCTTATGTGGTTGTTATTATTCCGATAGGCCAGGCAAACCACTTCCGACTGGTTGCCAACGTCCGCTCCGACCACGCGATCAAGAGATTCATGGACGAGACCAAGCGTCTTTACTCGGTCCTGGAATCCCGTCTGCAGGAAAGCCCCTATCTTGCAGGTTCAAAGTATACCATTGCCGATATTGCCAGCTATACCTGGGTCCGTCGAGGCCCTGCGCTGCTGGAGATTGATCTCTCTGAGTTCCCGGCTGTCCAGAGATGGGTCGATGAGATTGGCAAGCGGGCGGCGGTGCAGAAGGGCGTCGACGTGCCGCACGTGGACCGTACAAATGAGCAAATGGGGGTCTTTCAAAGCGCTCGCGCGAAGATTGATGCCATGGTCAACTCTGATACACATTGAGCGAGAAGGTGTCTAACTAGGAGCGCAATCGTTTCATTCATGTATAGGCAGCGCTCTGCCTCGTGGACCCTGGTTGTAGAAAGCCTGTTGAATATCCTCATCACATTCTTTCTGTTTACGTTTTTGACTGGCTATCTATAGAATGCACAGATTTTTCCCCTAAAACAAGCAGTCATTCTGTTCCTCGGATAGACAACGTGTATTAAGTTGGTTTTTGGTCTATACAGTGACATGTCCAGTCACTAGCCACTCCCTTGGTACAAGTTACCAGGCTCGCATCCCCCTCTGTAATAAACCGACTGTATTCAATGAGACACTGCCAACCAAGAGCAAAACCTCGTCACCGGTACTGAGAATCTGAACCCGTTCATAAACCAACCAAGAAAAATCAAAATAGCATTGACATGGTTGATGTTGTATGCATGCCCGTAAAGAAGATGAGATCCTCCCTAGCGTGCATGGAAGCAGAGAGGGGGATGAGGTCTATATCGCATTAGGGTCATGGGTCACACCGCACGACGTGTTGTGCATGTATGCAGGATGACACCAGCGTACTCACTTGTTGCTGTCTGGGAGGTCTGAGTTCCTCTGACGCAAGCTTTCGAGCGCCGGCGGGATGAAAGGGATTACTATGCCGGAGATGAGGTAGGATATGGCAATAGCGCGAGCCGTGCGACTATGGGGACGCGGCCGATGGGCGAGCTGAGCAGTCATAATGATGGCCGTGCTTTACTTCGACGGAGGTGTGCATGAACATACTCGAAGCTAAGGATTTATACAAATACACGCCGATCTCCGGCAATGGGGTGCGTACCTTGTGGGGGGGTCAATGCAGTACTAATGGTTGCAGCTGGGGAACACTACGCCGGGAAATCATGGTGGATCGGCTGTCGGCACAAACAAGAAGAAGGCAGTCGATGGCTCCTGGACGTCATCGCTTAGTGGCAGTGCAATCCATAGAATCACGGCACGATGCATCCGATCCAATCTAGACCACAGGAAGATAGAATGTAATAGAATGCGGGCCCCGCAGTTTTGTTATTCCTTACTTTTTTGCATACGATCTGTAGCCGTTTATTTCAGAGGAATAGCCCTAATAGAGTATCAATCAGCTCTTACACGATTCTACTGAAACCCAGCTGACTGTGGTCATACCGACCCCTTGCTATGAATTCCTCTATGATGATCACAATTTACCACGAAGTTTCATCACCTCATCATGCTGTCACGCGAGCTCATCGGCTCAATAGGTGATCTGAGATCTGCTGGGCCGTAAACCCTAAAGTGTGAGTAACTCACGGTTTAGACGAGTCACTGTGGGTTCTGAAGCAAATCCTGTGGGACTTTTGACTATTATACGGGTCTAATATAATTCTTAGGCAAGATTTATATGGTGAAACGCCATTTTTCAAAGATACATAGAGAGGGCCAAATCCCGCTACTGCGACTGTTAGACGGTCTGAGGCATCAGATGGAACGTATAACGTTGCCTAGTGTCTGATATTACGACAGACCACTTGTTGTTTCTTCATATCCAAGATCAAATTTCTACATAGTATCAAGCCTTTGGATATTACAACAGCTCAGGCTACGTACACTACTTTGAATCATAGAAGTCAAGCGCACACAATGGTATTCGGACTCGATGAAAAGAATTGTGCAGAAACGCGGCATGATATGAAACAAAATACCCGTCCACATACTCGTTGCATTTGCCCCAAGTAGCCCATCACAGGCCATGATTGGGAATGATGTTGATAGTAGATGACTGGCAGTGCTTGCTTTATTCTCCTTTCTCCAGTGCTTCTTTCTCCAACGCTTCCCGTCTTCCAGTGCTCGCTGGGTCATAAAACGGCACTTCGCCCAGGCTGACAGCGCGGTGACCAGCTCGTGGACCAATATCTTCATAGTCCCAGGTTGCTGCGTGATATGTGGATCGGTTATCCCAGATTGCTATCAAAGATGTCAGCTATCAGTAGCTCGCAACATAAGTACTGGGAGACATACCGAGGTCATTGGGGTTTTCCCAACGGTGGCGCACTTGCAGATCATGGTTCTCCATGATCAAGTTCACGAACCAGTCGGTGAGATGCTTGCTCTCCTCGTCACTCAGTCCGTTAATCTTCTCCACATGGGTGCCGACAGCGAAGACACTCTTCCATCCTGTCACAGGGTTGGTGCGGATCAGCGGGTGGACCGCACGCAGTTCTTCGCCGACATTCTCAGGAGCACCACGCGGGCCTTTGAAAATCTCAAAGCCGCTATCCTTCGCAAATTGGTTGAATTGAGGCTGCGAAAACGTGACATCCAACCCTTCCAGGAATTTCTGGTACGGTGGTGAGAGGCGGTCATATAATTCGTATCCGGAAGCCCACAGAGTATCTGGACTTGTGCATGAGCTTGGTAAGATCGTCAGAGAAAGGAGGATCAATGCTTACCTCCGCCAGTCCTAGGGAGAACGGTCAACCGCAAGATAGTATAGTCGCTCGGAACGGGCTCGAAAGTGATGTCGCTGTGCCACTCCTTTCTGGCGGTCTGGTGGCGGATCACACGCGATTTGTACAGCTTCTTGCCCTCTGTGGAGTTGATCACGCTGATTTCATCGTCCTTGACACTTATCTCCCGGCGGGAGTTGGCAACCGGGTGGATATGGAGTCCGGAGGTCTTCGGTTTTCCCGAGAGCTCACCAAGCCGCTGAGCTAGTTCCTTCTGCATCTTGTCTGTGAGGCCATCCTGCTTGCGGAAGAAGACCACTCCTCGCTGAGAAACTAGAACAAGGTTATTAGTCTAGATTTATCATCCAGAACAGAGGACCCACTGGTAATAGCAAGATCTCGGAGCAATGCATCGGAGTTCGGAGCACACAGGAAGTCCTTCAGGCTTGCGTTGGGATATTCGCGTCCAATGACTGGAGTGACATCAAATGACTCAAAAGCATCCAGAGCACCGCTGAGTTTCATAGGTACTAGTCTAGGGCCTTTTCCCGAAGGGACTGCGGTCTCGCTGGAGATAGAGGGAGCCATAATGGTAGAGAGGAATATACTTGTTGTTCAGGGGATTTAGAATCTTGAGCGTCTGTAGTAGCTCTCAAAGCAGAGCAAAAACACTCAATTTATACCCTATCTCTTCAGATCCTCTGGCAGCTCTACCCCGTTCGTTCGGCTCTCTGGCCCTGTTCGACGGTAACCCCGCTCAGATGAATACCCCATGTTGCATATTGCCTCCAGGGCCCACTCAATAAGGTCAATTAATGACGTGGGCTAATAGTTGGGTATAGTCTATGAACTGGGATTGGGATTTGCAATACACTACGTGTAACATAGGCTCATAAACACCGGCTGTCATTGCCGAAGCCGCGTTCAATGGGATGGCGTGATACCGACATTTATGGAAGGTGACGATTTAACCTGTCTGCGCTACTAAAGGCCTCTCCTTGCATTGGCCATGCCATGTATTAACCGGAATGGACCTCTTACGTTTTACAAGTCCAAGGATATGGTGCAGAACAGGGGGATCCTGTCGGAAGTCTAGAATGCCATACGCCTGGACGCAAGGTGGTGTACACTTTGGTTGACATTGATGACTCTCAGATAGCCTAGTAGAACCTCTCTGGATTGGAAAGGGTACGCAGCCCTGAAGAACGTAGCACCTGCGAAGAGTTCACCAGAGGAGGGAGTTTGCCTCCCACACACCAATGGCGGCCTAAGATGATAAGATGATACTCTCGGCAAGTTGGAAGCTACCACGGTTCACACAGTTGCCGAAGACCACTGGATCGTCGTTATACGATCGGGTGCTCAGGGACTTGGTACAAGGACTAAGTTGATGAAACCTGGGCATATCTGACTGTCCATATCCAGCCCCGGCATCCGACACATACCGAGAGGAAGCATGTCGTCAAAGATCGCGAGTGATTAACTGTGGCCTCAGTCAGCGCGCTGCCGAAAGCCGAAGCCGCCGCCGAGACACTGCCGGCTTTCCCAGGGCCAGACGAAAAATGGGCTGGGCAAAAGATTGTTTAGCCAAGAGCCTCTACAGATCGAAACGCCCCGGCAAATTATGAAAGTCTAAACACTATCCTATGTTCAGTATGTGGGGGGAATTTTGTCCGATGCCAGGGCTAGGTCTGAACTACACGACGGATGACAAATTCGAAAGCATGAAGTATAAAAGATACCACATAGGACTTTAGTTTCTATATTCAACAATAAGGAAGTAACAAGAAGCAAAATGTCTCAGGGATTAATCTTCATAACGGGGGCCTCTGGCTTTATTGGCAGCGCCACTGCTGTGGAAGCTCTAAAGGCTGGATATCGACTACGAGTGTGCCTTCGTAGGCCTTCGCCCCAATTGCAGACCCTACTCTCAAAGTATGGAAATCAAGTGGAATTTGTGTTCGTTTCAGATCTTACGGATGAAATAGCGTTCAGCGACAAGCTGGACGGGGTGGACTTTGTGCTCCATCTGGCATCCCCTCTCCCTCATGGCACCGACAAGGAAACTTATTTCACCCCAGCAGTCAAAGGCACTACTGCCTTGCTGAAGGCGGCAAGCAAGGTACCAAGCATCAGGAAGGTCGTCGTTACCTCATCCATGGCTGCTTTGGTGCCATTGACTGGTGTTCCAGAGGGTGGAGTAATCCAAGGTAAACAATATCCTTGTCTTTAATTTCCGGATCGGTATCGTCTTGACACTCCTTTTCTTCTATTTAGAAAACAATGATTGGGATCTATCAGTCGATGAAAATGGAAGCTTCGAGGACCCTACGAATCCGGCTGCAACACCCATGACACTCTATATGGCTTCCAAGCTGCTTTCCGACGCGGCAACTTGGGACTTTTGGAAAACAGCTAAGCCGAAATACGCCTTAGTGACGCTGCATCCAGCATTTGTGTATGGCCGCAATCTGATGCAGACATGTGCCGACGGGGTCAAGAGAGGGTCCAACGGGGCTCTATGGGGGTTTATCATGGCAGGCACCCCGACTGGATTTTTGACGGCAGTGCATGTTCAGGATGTCGCCGAAGCGCATATCAGAGCCCTGGATCAGAGAATAGTGGATGGCTCGAAGTATTTGCTGGCTGGGAGAAGTACGACCGTGCCGGAGATTGCGCGGTTTATTCAAAAGCGCTACCCAGATGCTGGGGCAGTCATCACCGAGGATGCGCCTAGTGTGGTGAGCCCAGTTAATACAGCTAAAGCGGAGAGAGAGCTTGGTATGAAATGGCGCCCATTTGAGGCTATCCTAGAAGATGTTATGGATCAACAGCTTGGGTTTTGCCGAAATGCATCGATCTAGGTGTTGAGCGAGGTGGATACGATTTCACCTGGGTATACGATTAGGTGTTTATGATTTCTTGCAGTGTGCTTTTGTATATAGTGTTGAATTTGCAGTGAACTTCGGTATTTTAACCCTGATATTCGCTCATGTCGCCGAGGACAATTCAACCTGTCCTCAGGTAAAAGGGCCACTGTTGTTAGTAGTCTTTTCTTCAATCAACG